CAATGGTCGCTTCATGGCAGTGACCATTTCCCCATCCTTGTTACTTTTTCTCTTTTCACCTTCCCCTCACCTTCCCCTCACCTTCCCTAGGTGACAATTTGCCTAGGCAGACTGGAACCTCTTTACCCTCTGAGCTACTCTCTCCGACCTCTCCGTTCTGCCTCTCCCTCGCACCCTCCTTCTTTTTCATGACATCGTCTTCGGCGCTGCCCTCCACTCTATTTCTCGCTCTAACTCTTGGGGCATGCGGAAATGTGTTCCCTAGTGGAATGTGGACTGTGCTCAGGCTTTCCGCTGTAAGCATTCAGCCTGGAAGAGACATCGCCACTGGCAGACGGTTGATTCTTTTCTTTTGTTTCGGAAGACGAGTGTGGTGGCCCATAGGACCATCTGTACGGCTAAACGTGAGGGTTGGAATTCTTATGTTTTCACCATTACGGCTGAAACTCCCCTGTCGCAGATCTGGAAGCGTATCCGCAAGATAGCGGGTAAGTTCGTTCCCAATATCTCGCCGGTCCTTCACCTCCATGGTACTCTTGTGGTGGACCCCGGTGCAGGTTGTGGCCGAACTGGGTTCCCAGTTTTCATCTGTTAGCTCTGGTTCTCATCTTCTTCAGTCTTTCCTTCTTCATAAGCCTGTTCTTGAATCTCATCCTTTAGATTTCCTTACCCATCTCGGCCTTCCCTATAACGATCCGTTCTCTCTCTCTGAACTTCAGTCTGCCCTGGCCCTCTGATACCTGCTTGATGGGGTTCTGGGAGTTCTTCTACTCCCCAAGCCCGGTCCGAGGCCAGGCTCGACTTGTGAGAGTTTGGTCCACCAGGCTGTTGCTTGGAGCGGCCCGCAGGCCCACATACCCACCACAGCCCGGCTGATCCGGAACTTCTCTTAGAAATCAGTCCAGTTTTCTCTTGAAGATGTCCACGGTTGTTTTGGCAATCGTCTGCACTTCTACAGCAGCGGGCTCCGATGACATTCATTATGAGATGCTTCGCCATCTCCCTCCGTGCACGTCTCAGTATTTGCTGAGTCTGTATCCGGGTCTGGGAGTCGTCGTTAGTCCCTGAGGACTGGTTCGATGTCTACCCTGTTCCGAAACCAGGGTCTCTCGGGACATCCCCTCAGGACTTCCGCCCTATTGCCCTCACGAGTTGTTTCTGCAAACTCTTTGAACGTATGGTTAAGGTTTATTTGATGTGGTTCTTAGAACACTATCACCACCTCTCCCTTCTCAATTTGGTTTTCACAAATGCCGCAGCACAACAGATGTCCTGGTGAACTTGGAGGTCTATATTCGTATTGCTTTTGCTTTGAAGACCTCAGTTGTTGCCGTCCTTTTTGACCTGGAAAAGGCTTACGACACTGCCTGCGGAAACTCTAAGCACACTGCCTGGAGACATCATATTCTGACCCAACTTCGTTCTCTTGGCCTTCATGGCAACCTCCCTCTCTTCCTCCAAAGCTTCCTCTCTCATCGTTCCTTTCGAGTGAGGCTTGGTGCCACTCTCTCTCTCTGCCTCTTTTTGGCAATACGAGGATGTGCCCCAAGGTATGTGTCCTGAGCACTACTCTTTTTCTGGTTGCCCTCAATGATCTTCTTTCCTCTCTTCCTTCTGGCGTCTTCCCTGCTCTCTATATCGACGTTCTTATCCTTTGTTGTCGGAGTGATGATTCGCCTTTCCTTCAACGGCGGCTTCAACTTGCTATTGATGCCGTGTCGTCTTGGGCCACCGATCATGGTTTCAAGTTCTCTACGTCTAAGACTTGTGCTGTCTTTTACTCAGAGACGTGTCGTTCTTTGTCCTTCTTTGTCGCTTTATGGTCCTCCCCTTGTGTACAGGGATTCCGCTAAGCTTTTGGGGTTAATCTTCGACACTCGTTTGTCTTGGTCGGCCCATATCTCTTACCTCTGAGTTGAATGCTCTATGGCCTTTAAACTCCTTAAGATTTTGTTCCATACTTCTTGGGGAGCGGATAGGCGCACGATCCTCTCTTTACATTCCTCTCTCGTTCTGTTGGAACTCGATTATGGTTGCCCTGCTTACTCGTCTGCATCTCCTCCTACTCTTCGCCACCTTGATGCTTTGCACCATACTGGGTTGCGCCTTAGCTCTGGTGCCTATCGTTTGACTCCCACCCTCAGCTTGTATGTTGACACTGGCTTCCTATCTCTTCAGGGCCGCCGTGATCGCTTCTGTCTTCGCTGTCTTGCATGGTCCTTACAACATCCTTACTCTCGCCTCTGTCATGCTTTTCCTCTATGGAAGGTCCTCCCTTCCTAAATTTTGTACATCCCTGACCCGTATCTCTAAAGCTTTTACCCCTCCTACGGTTCTGAAACGCCTTTTCCTTGAAGACTTTTCTTCACACTCCCACTCCATTTCCATCTTCACCGATGGGACTAAGTCTGCAGACGGTGTTGGCTACTCTGTTGTTTTTCCTGACCACACTTATATGTGTGGTCAGGAAAACACTTATATGTATGGTCGCCTACCTCCGGAGATTAGCATCTTCACAGCAGAACTCTATACTATTCTCTATGCTCTTCGTCTCTTGCTCTCTCGTTGTCAATCTTCCTCTGTGGTTGTCGTTGACTTTCGTAGTGCCCTCGTGGCTTTCGGGTCCTTTAACCCCTCAAACCGCGAGGGGTCCAAATGGCTCAACACCCATAGGCAAAAAAAAAAAAAAAATCCAAAAAATTCTTTCGGCTTATAAGTGTTTATATGTGTTCCCTGATCACGGAAAAAAAAATAATAAAAAAATCGTAGGTGGCATATTTTAGCCGCAATAAGGTAGGGAAGTCTGGCAAAAAAGGTGCGTTGACAGAGCCTTCGCCAGACGAGGTCTGCTCTGCCTGAGCTGTCAGGCAGCAGTTGCCACAAATATATTATTACCTAATTATTTCAATGTCTCTTGATTTTTTCTTAGTTTTTTTGCAGTAATATTATTCATTAGTATGTATTGTGATATATTTATATAATAAAATGTGTGAACCATCACTGTACTCACAAATATGCACACCATAATTTTGATTCACTTATGCTCATAAAACAATAACAAATAGTTTTGCTGTTATTACACTATATACACAGGTTATATATAAGTATCTGCATTTTTTGCTCACCATAATGAACCACTAAGTTGGTATTGTGAGTCAAAATGCAATGAGGAGTGATCGCCACACACCAGCCATCTACTCGCTGCCACTCTCTCCCTCAACAACACCTCACTCGCCCTCATTCTCCTCCCACAATACTGTTTTTGCATTTATTCACAGATGTTATATATAAGTATTTACATGTTTTGTTCACCATAGCTGTACATCTAAGCTTGTATGGTGAGTAAAGGCAATAAGACGTAGCTACTCACACAGTCAGCTGGTGGCGGCCGCCCTCAAGGCCAGACTCGCTAATATTTCTCCTCCGACAATATTGTTTGTGGTGTTATTATGCTATATACGCACATTATATATAAGTATCTACCTGTTTTATTCACCATACCTGTACAAATAAGCTGGTATGGTGCCCAAAGACCATAGTGGCCACCAGTAAACATGCCAAGTTGTGCAGACGACGCACCTCCCTTACCAAAATGGCGGCTCCCAACCTCCTACTATTGCTGTTATTACACTCTATACACAAGTTATATATAAGTATCTACATTTGTGTTCACCATAGGGAACCACTAAGCTGGTATAGTGAGTGCAGTCAATAAAAGGTGGCGCCACACAGTCAGAAGACGACGCCACCACCATCCATCCCACAGCATTACTCTTCCCTCCATGGAGCACAGCGCTAAATATCACCAAAATCCTGCTATTATCAGAATCCTGGTCAGTTTTATCATAGTCAGGGGTCTTCTGTAATACTATCTTTGCTAAATAATATCATGAACATGTATATTTTGTCATATTTAGGCGATGCTGTGGTCACAAGGTGAACAGCAGTGCTGTGCACTCATGGTGTGTGCGTCTTCCTTGGTGGCTCGCTCAATACTGAAGTTCTCACACCCAGGAATGTTGGCCACAATCTTTTTTCTAGGTGGCGTCTGTCAACTATCGGTCGTTGCTGCACTATAGCTGTCCCTTTCCCACGCAGGGCGTTTAAATAAAGGTGCTAGACACTAAAACAGCTATTAATGTATTGCACGGTTTCGGTTTTGTTACTGAAGTCATCTGTATATGTATTGCGCGGTTTAAGGGTTAATCTGGTCCATCCAGTGGTCATCGAGATTCAACATTGGCTGTTTCTTATTTCCAGTAAATTTAAGTCAGTTGAGTTTTGCTGGGTTCCCAGCCATATTGGCGTCTCTTTAAATGAGCATGCGGACGCTGCCGCTAGGGAAGCTGTCCGCTCTTGTCCCATCTCCCGTAAAGGTATTCCTTATTCCGACTTTTACCCAGTTATTCATTCCTCCATCCTTACCCATTGGAAGGATTGTTGGTCTTCTGTTACTGGTAGCAAACTGTGTACTCTTAAGAGTTGTGTCCTCATGGCCTTCCTCCTACCACCGTAACCGGCGATGGGAAACGGCTTTGGCGAGGTTGCTTATTGACCATGCACACTTAACTCACGGTCACTTAATGAAACGCCGCCCTGCTCCATATTTTGTTGTCTCCAAATTGCATTGTCTCTCTTATGGTCATGCATATTCTTGTTGAATGTCCCAACTTCCAGGGCGAGTGTGTGTCTTGCTTTCCGACTGTCCCCCGTGGTTGCTTGTCCCTCGAAAGAATTCTTGGTGAATTGAATACTTTTGATATCGTTCGCCTTATGCGTTTCTGTTCTCATATTTGCATCCTTGGTGATATTTAGCGCCCTCTGATTATTCCGCACATTTGATGGTGCTACATAGCCTTCCCCATTTGGTGCCTTCTTTTGATAATTGCTTACTTTTGGCAGAAAAAACATTCCATACAGTATTACAATATGTGTAATTTTATTGCAATTACAAATATATTCAAAAAATTTGTTTTGAACTCAATTCTCTATATCAACAGATTGCAGAGAAATGAGCAAGATTCTGATGGTGGCCAGAAAAACAAAAAAGGTTAGTAACTAAAAATTTTTTACTGCATTGATCACGAAGCAACTGCATGGGTTGGCCAGGAGTGCAAAAGAAAAGGAAGGAATTAAAGGAATTTGTTTAAAATGAATTTGAATAATATGAGGTAATTATAAGGTGTGTCTGGTTACCATCACACATCTATTCCCTCAGTAATGTGGTTATCATATGTTGATTTTAGATATTATTATCTGGTTTTATACCTATGATGCTAATATGGATATAATAGTTCTATATATGGATGTAGTAGAGTTTATCTAGACCCATGAAAAAGTCCTCCTAATATTTCATGATTGTTTACACCATGCAAATGCAATTTTTGTGAATGTTCCTGCACCAGTGTGGCAATTGTCATGGTATAATATTCCATTATAATTATATGATTCATGTACTGATAATGTTCATGTGATTGTAATAAAGTATACAGAGCACCACTTGGTTTCCGAACCCCTTGGGGACGAGACCCGTCGGTTAACATGTAAGTTCGTATACGAGAAATAGAGGGGAAAAAATAAACTAGAAATGTAAAAAGAAATTTTTCCGAAAAATTTACGAAAAAAATTCTAGGGGAAAAAATCGACAGGTTCATGGCGTAAATGCGACCGTGTTTTGTTTGTACTCACCAATAAGTGAAGTCCTGATCCGCTTTATAAAAGTCCTTAATTGTTCCTAACTGATTATTAAGACGTCTGGCAAACATCCTCTGGATGTTTCCTGCCAGCCTGCAGGCACATCCTGCCAGCCTGCAGGCACATCCTGCCAACCTACCTGCCAGCCTGCAGGAACATCCTGCCAGCCTGCAGGCACATCCTGCCAGCCTGCAGGCACATCCTGCCAACCTGCCTGCCAGCCTGCAGGCACATCCTGCCAACCTGCCTGCCAGCCTGCAGGCACATCCTGCCAGCCTGCAGGCACATCTTGCCACCCTGCAGGCACATCCTGCCAGCCTGCAGGCACATCCTGCCAGCCTGCAGGCACATCCTGCCAGCCTGCCTGCCAGCCTGCAGGCACATCCTGCCAGCCTGCCTGCCAGCCTGCAGAAACATCCTGCCAGCCTGCCTGCCAGCCTGCAGGAACATCCTGCCAGCCTGCAGAAACATCCTGCCAGCCTGCAGGAACATCCTGCCAGCCTGCAGAAACATCCTGCCAGCCTGCCTGCCAGCCTGCAGGCACATCCTGCCAGCCTGCAGGAACATCCTGCCAGCCTGCAGGCACATCCTGCCAGCCTGCAGGCACATCCTGCCAGCCTGCAGGCACATCCTGCCAGCCTGCAGGCACATCCTGCCAGCCTGCAGGCACATCCTGCCAGCCTGCAGGCACATCTTGCCAGCCTGCAGGCACATCCTGCCTAAAATATACGATGATGTACTGTACATTTAAGAAACAAATCTGGGTCACAGGTCTGTGGAGTGTGGTTAGGCTTACGGAGTCAGCCAGTCCCTCCCCCACCACCGACACACCTCCCCCACCCCCCACCCCAAACCCATACACACACACACACACTCTCAAAGGTCACGTGGTTCACGGTTCACTTCAACACCCATATATCGCTTCCTGTCTGCCTGCCTCCTTCCCAGCCTGCCTCCTTCTCAGCCTGCCAGCCTGCTTCATTTCCAGCCAGCCTGCCTCCCTCCCTGCCATCATGCTAACGGGTAGTGTGTGTTAGGCTTATCTTCGGGAATGAGCCGGTCTCACCCCCACCACCAACAAACCACCCGCCCCCCTACATCCCATCTCTCAAGGTCACGCGGTTCAACCGCGTGACTACCACTCACTCCCTGCCTGCCAGCCTTCCTGCAAGCTAGCCTGCCTGCCTGCCTGTGCCTGCCTGCCTGTGCCTGCCAGCCTGCCTTTCCCTCTCTAATTCTCACTACTTCCATCCCTTCCTGCCTACCTCCTAGCATCTCTCCCTACCTCCCCCTCCCTCTTAGCATCTCTCCCTACCTTCCCCTCCCTCTTAGCATCTCTCCCTACCTCCCCCTCCCTCTTAGCATCTCTCCCTACCTCCTAACATCTCTCCCTACCTCCCCCTCCCTCCTAGCATCTCTCTCTCCCCCTCTCTCACTGATTCTCCCCCCCCCCTCATTCATACTGCCTCCCACCTAAGCTCCATCGTCCATCCACCCACCAGTCAGCCATCACTGACGCAATGCGTGCATTTGGAGCCAACATGGTGCACAGATGTTTCTTGATTGTGCAGATATGTAAAACAAAAGCACAGAATGAACATTCCAGCCTTATGGCAATTCAAAATAATAGGAATAATAGGCCGTGAATCTGTGAAGTCACAGTGGGCAAACTGGACCATCGCCCACCCACCACCACAAGCCGGCGTGACGCTTGGTGGACCCCTTCCTACCCGAACTTTGTTCGGGTAGCATGACTCCTCAACCCCAATCGGGAAACTGGAAGTTTCGGATAACTAAAGTTCGGGAACCAAGTGGTGCTCTGTATCAGGTCATCCAATCATTTGAACCATTATAATACATTTTCTGTGGGGAGCTCCTTCGGCTTCCTGAAGCTATGGAGCTAACATGTGATACATTAGACCGGGCCATTAGTCTATGGAGTTCAGCCTACCGGGGACCACGAGCCAGAACCTGGTCCCCTCAGAGAGGTGCAGGGAGCAATGGCCCTTGAAGACCCCCTTGTGGTTGGGGGTTTTCATTATCTTCCATTGACTGGGGTTAGGCACCCAGAAAGGTACGCATACCAAAACAAACCCCACATGGTTAGAAAATTACAACTGAAAACCAAAAAGAGAGGCAGAACTCCCTCTAATCTAAAGGAAACAAGCCAATGAGCAAACATCACACTCCACTGCCGCGTTGCTTGTCCATGCAGTCCTCCCCTCCCCGCGCCGGCTACTTAGCACTCTAGTTCGTTTGCTAATGTGGTCTGAAGTGGACGTCTTTTCTGGCCTCGAATTTCAAAGCAGTGTTTTGCTGTCGTGGCGACCTCTGCGGTGTTGTTGTGTGTGGTGGTCAAATGTCTTCATCTGTACCAGAGCTGCATGCGTTTAGGGGCATCCTTTCCTAGGCACGTTGTGAGTACTACCCTTGTGTGTTAGGGTTCTCTTCCCTGGTGTGTTTGGGAACCATTTCCGTACCGGTTTTTGCTGCTCTGCATTTACCCGGCCTGCTGGGGTATTGTGGCCCTTGTTTGGCCTTGGGTAGGGAGTGGTTTCGTGCTGGTTGGGGCGTCAAGGTGTTGTGCAGCCGGCCTACCTATGCGGCGGCTGGTTCTTGCTTCCTCTGGGGAATTGTACTTTTGCGGGGTTTTTCTTTTGTTTTTGTTTTCTGGGGGAACCCTATTTGGCTCCACGGAGCTATCCGGACTGATGAATGTATTAGACCATGGCATCAGTCAAAGCGAATGGAGTTCTTAGGTCTACCGGGGACAATGAGCCAGATCCTGGCCCCCCTCTCAGAGAGGCACGAGGAGCAATGGAATATAGAAACCCCTGTGTGGTTGGACGCATTCTATGTCTGCCATCGACTGGGTCAGGCACGCAGAAAGGTAGGCGCCCCAAAACAAACCTTATCTGGTTAAAAATTGCTACTGAAAGCCGAACTGTTGGACAGAACTCGCCAAACTAAAAATGAGTAAACGCGCTTGAAGTCACAACCGTCACCATACCTCTGTCTGCGCAGCTCCGACTATCCACCCCCAGTTCTGAGACTGATGCGAGACCTGGCAGTCATGCAACTCGGCTCCTAACATTCCAGTGTTGTGCCTTATTGTGTTGTACTGTTCTGTGGTGGTGTGTGAGCTAGGAGTAGTTTCACCAGTACTTGGACTGCGTGCGCCTAGGGTTACCTTCCCTTGGTGCTCTGTAAGTACTCCCCTTGTGGCTTGGGGATTCTCTTCCACAAGTCACTTGGGGTCTACCTCCAGTGTGGTCTTTTGCTGCTCGGTGATTGCCCGCCCTTGGAGTCAGCTGGGGTGTTTCATGCACCACTGTTTGCCTCTGGGTAGGAGGTAGTTTCATCACTGGTAGGGGTGCAAGAAACTGTGCAGCTTGTTTTCACCATAATACTACGGCCGGCTCTGTTCTGCCTGTGACGTTGTCCTTTTTCGGGGTTTTTCTTTTCTTTTTGTTTGCTGCCTGGTGGGGGAGTCTACCTCTTGGCGTTGTTGACCCTTTTTTATTTATATATATATATATATATATATATATATATATATATATATATATATATATATATATATATATATATATATATATATATATATATATATATATATATATATATATATATATATATATATATATATATATATATATATATATATATATATATATATATATATATATATATATATATATATATATATATATATATATATATATATATATATATATATATATATATATATATATATATATATATATATATATATATATATATATATATATATATATATATATATATATATATATATATATATATATATATATATATATATATATATATATATATATATATATATATATATATATATATATATATATATATATATATATTAGTATATTTTGGTAGCAGTCTTTCCTGTAGACATATATTATTAAATATGACCGAAAAAGTAAGATTAATAATTCTAACACGAATTTTCTCAATCTTTCGTACATTACGCTTCACTGTTGGAGGTAAATCAAAAATCAATTCTCCAAAATTCATTTTTATTTCTAGTCTGACGCGACACGGGCGCGTTTCGTAAAACTTATTACATTTTCAAAGACTTTAGTTCACAAATACACAACTGAATAGAACTTACGTATCTCCGATTTTATATCTACATTTGAGTGAGGTGGAAGGGGTGATGTGGCATTAACACAAGACAGAACAAAATGTGGTATTAATAAGGTATTAATTTCATCAACACAAGACAGAACAAGAGTATTAATAGGGTATTAATTTCATCAACACAAGACAGAACACGAAGCAATGGATATTGAATAGAAGTGTTTGTAGAAAGCCTAT